TATCCATATCTTTTTAACCACATAGTTTATCAATGGGCCTGTGCCCATGCTTGGCAGGTTTGAAGTCAAAGCCAAAAGAAGTCTTGGATTAAGTTCACTACTAGTATTTCTTCTACCACCAGTTCCAAAACCATATGGTACAAGATTTGAAAAGTCACTGGGAGGTATGCTTCCCATCCCCTTTCCATATTGCTCTCCAATGCCAGGTAGTTGCTGATGACCAGAGCATCTAGCACTTTTGTTTCTTCCCCTGCCTTCTTGGACATCAACTCTTGGGCAAAATGATCATCTCTTTCCTTTCGGGGTGATTATCGCTATGACTATAATCACCCCCCTTTACACTGATGGAACTCAAACTTACTCTTCATCAGTCTGGCAGTACATTAGTTGGACCTAATGATGTTCATTATGAGATGGTGCGCCATCTCTCTTCTGCCTCTCTTGCAATTCTTCTGGTTATTTCTAACCGGATCTGGCAGGAGCATGTTTTTCCTGATGCTTGATACCAGGCTATTGTCCTCCCTTTCTCTAAAACTGGGAAGATCCCAAGATTCCTTCTAATTATTGTCCCATTGCTTTGACTAGCTGTCACTGTAAGGTCTTAGAGAGGATGGTTAATGCTGGTCTTGCTTGGTTCCTCAATTCAAACAAACTCCACTCGCCCAGCTAGTGTGGGGTCCGTTGTCAGTGCTACACTGTGGACCATCTGATTCGACTTGAAATGTCGATCAGGGAAGTCTTCCTCAAGAGAGAACATCTTGTTTCCATGTTCTATGTGGAGGTATGGCATTTTGCAGGACTTCCACTCCTATGGGTTGCGTGGCCATTTACCCATTTCTATTCAGAACTTTTTACTGGACAGGAGATTCCAGTACTGTCTATTCCCATTTACACAGATGGTTTGAAATCGGGTGATTCTGTAGGCTCTGCCAGTGAATAAAATAACTTAATATTTATTGAAACTAAATTATATTTATTAGATATAAATTGATCTTGACCAAAAATATTGTTTCGTAGTTTGACAAAGATAATTTTGATGCCACTGTGAAAAGTCAGGTCATAGGTCAGCAATAAATAATTTTCAGTTTTAGCCAGAAATGGTACTGGAATCAACAAAATAATTATGTTGATTAATATCAGTCAAGTTGAAACTGACTGAATATACAAAATGGAACTTTCTGATTTACAATAAAAAAATAAGATTCTAATTAGTATCTAATTAGTATTTCTAATGTTTTTCTCAAAACGGCATTTCACAACAAAATTTTAGAATTTTTGTAGTGTAAATAATTATAGGAAAAGTAAATCAAATTGTATTAATTTTTTAATACCTTGTCTATGAATCATGGAGGCATGTTTGTTTGATTGCTTCCCAGACAAAGCTTTCTGCTATTCTCTCTCTCTCTTTAAATTTTGAATAGAGATTTGAACTCCTTGCAATATCTGGAATCTGAATTGCCCCCCAATGTAGCCAAATTCACACTAGGCTTCCAAAATATGAGGAATAACTTATAACCTATTTCAAAATTCCATCCAAAACATGGTAGTGGTTGCACAGTGCAAGATCTGATTACTCAGCTCTATAAAGCCATTTTCTCCGAGTGTTTTTGCAAGTTATGTCAATAAAGATGGCTGAGAAAGGATCATTGCAGCTTATTTTCCACTGTAAAGTGACTAAGTGTGGTACCTGCTTGAAAATGAACACTTTACTATTTTATGCAAAAGGAACAGTCTAGCCATTCCCCTAAACTTTGTGTCTTTGTGGCCAAACATTAGTGAGAGGTGGGTTCTTTTGGCAGTAAAATACATTTGTTTGCTGCTGTTGTTTTTTAGTTTAACAGATTGAGCCTTTTATCAGAGTTAACTTTTTGGTTTTAAATACTAGAAACCAAGACACCCCATAAAGCCCACTCAGATTTGTTCTCGTTGCTTTGCAGCTGGGTGATAAACCAAAACTGGATATTTTTTTATATTTAATAAGTCTGAACTGTATGAAATAGTGTGAAACTTCAGAAGAACCTCCTAATAATGTAGTTTCTGCATATAAAATATCTTATTTTTATATGTGATATTTGTATGAATTTGCAGCTTTGAAAATATGAAATTCTTCATTGTATGTTTTTATTTAAGAAACAATTAAAAATACTAACCTTTGTTTTATAGGTTTTCATTACTGATTTGTATGTATTCTGATGATCTTATAAAACTTTCCCATAAAGCTTTTATTTGATAAAACAGTGAATTTAATCTTCATTTTGAATTGAAAAACATAGCATGCAGTTTTACCATATTTATGTTAACATTTTCGAGACAGGTCACGGGTGAAAGACCATGTCAGCGAGTTTGTT